CACACACACACACACCCCACACACATACACACACACCTACACACACACATACACACCCACACATACACACATACACTCACACACACACACACACACACACACACATACACACACCACACACACACACACACATACACACACACATATATATACACACCACACACACACATACACACACACATACACACACACACACACACACACATATACACACACCACACACACACATACATACACACACCCACACACACACATACACACACCCCCCCCCACACACACACACACACAACAAGGAAACCTGGAAGGGAACAGAATCGAACACGGGATATGGTTGTTGATGGTGTGTTTATTAAGAAGGAATACTCACACGAAAGGCTAGTAACCAGTACTCCAAGAAGTCCAGTCCCAGACACGCTCGGGACCCGACCTGAACCCTGAAAAGAGAGTGAGAGCCTCCTTCCCAGTTCTTTTATCCTGTCCCTTTTGTGTGCCTGTAACCATGCCCAAACAGGTGTGGTCAGCACTACAGCTACATGGGATTACTCCCTGCAGAAACCCACAGGCGTGGCGGTAGACGGCTTTAATCCCAGCACTCGGGAGACAGAGGCCGGTAGATCTCTGTGAGTTCTAGGGCATCCAAGGCTCCATGATGAGATCCTGTCTCAAAAAAAAAAAAAAAAAAAAAAAAAAAAAAAAAAGACAACCCTGTGTCCACAGCAGAGTGAAGCCGCCTGGTACTGAGTGGTGGCGGCGGGTGGAGATTTGCACCTCACTGTTAATGAACGCAGTGTTGACAGGGCGGGTCCCGCCAATGAGTGATCACGTGACCACAACTCCTAGGAGCCTGGGTGTGCACAAGTTCACGTAAGCATCATCCAAGCCCAGCCAGACACATACAGCAAGGGCGGGGCAGAAGACAGCATCTTTGCCCCCAGGCTGGCCGCCGCTTCCACGAGCAGCAGTAGCTCTGGCTTCCTGGGTGACATGAGGAGAAAGGTGGATTTCCTTTGCCACTTGCCTCAAATTGCTCACAGGGGAGGAATGACGAGGTTCCCAGTCCAACCCTCAGAGGAGAACTTAACTCAAAATACAGGGTTCACACCAGGAGTGGGTCAAGCCAGCCATTCGGACTTGGACAGTTACCCACTGAAAGGGCAAACCCGTGAGCTGTTCTTCCCAAAGACTGAGTTTTAGGGACAGCTTTGTTACATGCGCTGAAAAGAACGGCCATCCTAGGATGAGAGTCCTCAGCTAACAAATGGTGTCTTCTCTGGTCTTTTCGCCAAACCTCAGGAGCGCTTGGAGAAGCTCCTATGGCTTGCAGGTGGGGGGGGGGTCTGTTTATATAGGAATACTCTGCCTTCATTTAAAATAGAGCTCTTTTAAAGCATCGTTGATTGGCTGCCTTGAGTTTCTGCTCCTATTAGAGACCAAGTGGAAATTAAGTTTGGGAACCAAAGAACCTTTGTATCCTTCACAGTGAATGCACAGCACATAGCTTAATGGGATCAAAAGCCCTGTGGTGCAGAACCCATGCTGTCACTTCAGGTCACTGGGCACTGCCCTTGTTCCCTGGAAAGTATGTGCTTAGGTCCTTACACCCCTCCCCCTGCCCCTTGTTGGCAACCAAACAAGCTGAGTGTCACAACAAGAACACAGGCAGTTAGTTGAATTCAGGGTCCAAGGGAGGCTCAGTGGCAGCATTTCAAGGCCGTGGGCTCCTCTTCCCATCACTCAGGAGTTTGCTTGTTTTGGGTACCAGCAGAATCATTCCCGTTTGGATAGACCTCACGTAATAGGCCCACTGGGAACCACGTCTCATCTTGGTGAATTTGTGGCGGAGTTTGACTGTCACACCCAGACCTTGGAGTCCTCGGTGTTTTCCTAGACTGTGCCAAGCACCTTGTGTGGTATTGTTACTGAGAGACACATGAGAGACAGGAAGTGTCCCTTCCTTGGTTCCCTCTCACCCCTCAAGTGACCCTGGCCTCTCTCTTGAAGCTTGGCAGCAAGGCAAAGATGTGCCAAGAGAACGATCTGGCTTTCTTCCCTCCCAGAGTTAAATGTACAGTGGAGGGGACATTTGAGCAGGGGCAGCCCTAGCTTGTGGTGACCAGAACAAGTCAGGCTGTGTAACCAGCCATGCCACTCGTCACATGAGTGCAGTCAAGTGCCCGCTGTCAGAGAGCTGGGAGGCCACTGCCTGTCCTTAGTTCTGCTTCCTTCTTGAGTCTGTTGACAAATGGCAAAAGACAGCCCTGTGAACTGAGGGTCATGGCCACCTCCTCCTGCCCCTACCCAGCCTGCCTCCGAGTGGATCCAGGGACCACCGATCTCTCCTGGAGGCCATCTTGGAGCAGGGACTTGTACTGTTCTTCTGTTTGAAACATACTTTCCAACCGACTTTGTTTTTCTCTCCTTTCTCTGTCTGTCTGTCCAGAACCAAACTGTCTTACTAACTGCCCCATGGGGACTCTAGCCCTGCCTGCCTCACACTGTAAGTGCCTTCTTCCTCGCTTCCAACCGTCCAGAGAGTTGTGTGTGTGGCCGCTGTACCCATGGTCATTTATTCATCACCATCTATGGAGATCCCCTCTCACCCCCAGGAACAGTCACTGAGCCCAGACACCCGCTTTGCTGCCTCCAGGGTTGACTGCTTAGCATGTAGATTCTGCTGAGGTTTCTCCTGTCGTGGAGTTTGCAGTTCGAAAAAGAGACAACCGGTGGCCAGGAGGGGCTATCTCAGGCTCAGCTCATGTCTTGTCTTTGAGCCCAGCTTCTGCTGGTTTTAAACCCACCCACCACTGCTCACTGACATTGTAGTTGCATATGTGTGTTGGGGTGTGGTCTGCATGATATGTTGGGTCTTCCCTCATTTATTTTATTTCAAACAATCATGCCAGAAAGAATGGGCCCAGATATCTCTTGTCCTTCTAAGTGAGTCTATTGGTGAGAAAGTAAGTTCATAAGTGCTGACTGAATAAATAATAACAGAGATGTCCCCGTTCTCTGTATTTTTGAGAACTCTGGGCATGGCTGTCTGAGCCTGAACTGACTGAGACCTATGAGAAAGTACACATTTTGGTTTGAGTCAAGGATGTAGTCACCCTCCTAATCTACCTCAAGTTAAGAACTAAAGTAGAGCGATGCTATACATGGTGGTGCACAGCTTTAATCCCAATGCTGGGGAGGCAGAGGCAGTGGACCCAGCCAGGGCTGTTACAGAGTGAGACTCTGTCTTGGGGGGAGGGGATGAAAGTTGTGTCCCCCATGGCAGTGGGAGGTGGTGAGTGGCCACAAAAGTGCTGGGAAAGGCCGTGGCCATGCAGCCACCTCACTGGTTTCTGGGTCAAGGAGCTCGTTTGTGTGTGCTGGTGTCTTACTAAGGAGGTGTTAGTTTCCTGCACACTGTGGCTGCACGGGTTTCCCTGCACGAGCGGGTGCTAGTGAGGCGGGTGTCACGGTCCCTGAGAAGAGCTCCTTCTGTTGGGCCTCAGTGGGAAGAGGGCTAGATAGCCCTGTGGTGGCAGCCACGCTGACACGCAGCAACAGATGTGCACATGCTCACTGCTACAGCAGGAGCGGAGGCCTGGATTTCACAAACCTGGCCCACCCTCCTCCAGGCCCTGTGCAGTGAGGTCAGCACCACCTTGACTTCATGTGTATCCATGTGGTTGCCGTAGGAACGTCCTGGCTGTCACGGTACCATTGATGTGAATGGCCCAGGGAAGGTCCTCCTAGGTTAGGTAGGGTGCCTACCAAGGATGGAAAGGGCTCAGGGTTAGTGTTTCCTTTTATTGCTGGCCCCTCGGGGATGAGAGAAGGACTGCCCCGTTACTCCATCGCTCTTGCGGAAGCCTGTGCGTCCCTTGCCTCCTTCAGTCGGTCGTGACATCCTCACTGGCCATCTCTGAGCACCCTCTGTCATGTTGTCACCTCCCAAGAGCCATCGTACAGCATCTGTCCTTCCATCCCTGCTGTTCCTAATCTCTCCATCCGTTGTTCATCACGTCCAATAAATCTTCTGTTCACCTCTTGACTTCCTTCCTTTTTGCACGACATCCTCCTTGTGCCTTTCGTCCCTGTAATATAGAGTTTTGTGTGGGTGTCACCCACGGTTCTCACTGCGCGTGACACAGCATTCCACGGTTCCCTGTCCCCTGACATACAGGCAAGGGACACAAAGCGCTGCATTCCTTTTACACGGGCACACAGCTATAGATGATCTGCACCACGGCCGAATGTTGTGTGCCACACACACGGTCAGCCCTCAGGATGGTGTAGTCTAGTACAATTTGTGAAACTGCCACTGCGGTGACGAATCATTAAAGAAAGCTAGACCTCAATTAAAATTTCTGTCTGCAACACTTTTTTCCGACATTGTGGGAGTTTGTTTAGCCTTCTGCCAGTCAGCTTGGCACAAACAGTGGCAGAGTTGTGGTTGACTCTCGTCACTAATACAGCAGGACGCAACCCCAGGTCTCTGTGGGCCTCAGTAGACCACGAGACTAGCCCAGTAGCCGAAGATCCCTTCCAGTGGCTCAAGGATGGGACTGGAACAAGATGACCCCCTTGGCACCTCATCTTCTCTTTGCTCCAGTCTAGTTCTGGAGATGCCCTCCAAGAAGACCCACGTCTCTGTCCTTTATGTCCTTTGTCACAGTGTAAAGGGTCACGTGTCGTGTGTCACCAGTCGTCCATGTGGAATGTTTTACTGATCACTTTTAAGTCATTCTCCACGCATGCCATATCATTCAGATACTCAAGCATCCTGGGCTGTTCAGTGTGTTTGAAGTGTGTTGGGGCCATTGCCCATGTGACACTGAAGGTCTGGAGCTCTCTCTCTCTCTCTCTCTCTCTCTCTCTCTCTCTCTCTCTCTCTCTCTCTCTCTCTCTCTCTCTCTCTGAAGGAACTACCGTGTTCTGCACTTGCGCCATCCCTAGAGCCCTGCTTCTCCAGACCAGAGAGACCAGCAAACCGCCGCCTTCCATCCCGTTGGGCCCCGCCTTCCCCTACTGCCTCACAGTCTCAGTCACCCGGAGACCCAGTGTCCTTGGAGGAGCATGGTGAGGAGGAGCCACCAGAGGAGAAGCCACACCTGTGACATGACCGCCAGCTTGCATGGGTTATCACCGGAATACATCACTATAATTTGCATAACCGGACCCTCACCTTCAACCAACCTCTACCCCAAAGGAAGGATGTAACTTTCTCAAGATCAAAGGACTTTTTTTTTTTTTAACAAAAAAACCTGCGGCTTCTGAATGTTCAACCTGGTAAACCGAGATGTTTCGGGAATGAAACAGTAAACGTGCCTGTAATAATTTTTTTCATAGTCCAGAAAACTATTTTTGTCTCCATCTTTTTTACACACAATATATTAAACAAAAAGGGTAAATGAGGTATAAATCGATGTAAGACTTTTAAAATGTACATCTTAAGGGATTCCAAAACACCCTTGTTCGCAACCCTGACTGCCTCTGTTAAATTTGCACTGTTCCCTTGTGGTTGGGTTTCTCCATGTTGAGTTCAGAGTGTTCCAGGTTAAATTTTATTTTGTCCAGAGTTAATTTTTTAAGAGTCTTTTTTAGCGCTTCAGACTGTCCAACTCAGTGAACTTTTTGTAGTGAGAAGGCCATGAGGCCAAAGCCATGAGGCCAGAAGGCCAGAGTGTGTGTACTCTGGAAGGATGGAGGTCGACATTTCGGTGAAGGTACGGAGCCCCTCAGATGGATTTAAACCCACTGTGTGACCCATGCACGCTGCCTACCGCACATCCTTGGGCGTCTGTACATACACTGCTCTGTCGCTGCCCTTACCTGCGTGTGCGTCGGCCTGTCCCGCTGTAACTTGTCGTGAAGTTCCTTGTACTGTACTGTGACCGTTGGTCCCCCTGTACCAACGAGACAACAGCATCATTTTTAAATTATTGTTAAGACATTAACTGGCATTGTACAAAGCTCACTCAATATTTTCTTGTTTAAGGAAAAGCACTACAAAAAAAAAAGTCATGAGGATGCCAAATTGAGACAAATGATGGTGCCTCAGAGTCTGTCTGAGACCATGATGATAGAGAAATAAAGCCCTTACAAGGGAGAAACAAGGTCTGGGGTGTCACAGTTCATTGGCTCCTTCCTTACTTGTCTTCTTCAACTCTAAGTCGAAGTTTCTCCAGGTTTTCTGGAGCTGGCAGAGGGCAGGGAACAGGGGTGTGAAGGAGGGGGTGCACACTTGTGAGATGGAGTTGTAGCCTTCGGTACTCTAAGGGCCCTGGAAAATAAGTGGCTTTATTCTCACTGCAGACACTAGAGCTGGGAGGGCCATGGCAAGGTGGCTGCCAACAAGTAGACGCTGCCAGCATCTGCCCTTCTTATCAGGAAATGGAGCAGTCTACAGCTTTGGGGTCATTTGACGGCAGATCGGCAGCCCAGCATTTTGGTGTTGGTTGTGCTGTGGGGGTGGAGTAATGAAGCCACTGCTGAAGAACACAGAACTATTTAAAATGGCCAGAGCTTCTGGCTTTGGGGTTTCGATAGCCTGATGGTTCTGTTCTCTTCTTACAAAGATGAGGTAATAAGGCCTCTTCCCGGAATCAGACAGTTCCTCCTTTAAATAGTTTCCAAAGACAAGTGTTGGTGAGGAGATGGGGCCGTTGGAACCAGACAGCGTGAGAGTGGAGAAGTGGTTCGGACACCATGGAAGGCAGAGAAACAGCTCCTTTAGCCCTCAAACGCAGAGTTGCTGCATGGCCGTCTATCCCATGGTGAGCGCACGGCACTTCTGAGTTGGAGTAAGACTCGTGCGGACACCTTTACACCACCCTTCATAGCAGCATTATTTGTAAGAACCAAAAACAAAAAGAAAAGAAAGGAAGAAATAGCACACATCCACTTGCAAGTGAGTGGAGAAACAAAATGTGTATTTGCAGTGGGAAGAGTCCTAGTAAATGAGGTAAGCCAGTCACAAATAATGGCATGATCTCCACTTGTGTGACATTCACTAATGCAGTCATTCATAGAGACAGAATAGCAGTCACTGAAAAAAAAGGGGGGGGGGGGGGGGGGGTTGAGGGCAGGAGAGAGGGAGTTGACAGCTTTCAGTTTAAGATGCTGGGAGTGAGTGGCAATGATAAGATTGTCCGACAGTGAGGATACACTTGAGGCCAGTGAGTGAACACTTAAGGCGCTAACGTGGTAAACCTTCTTACATTTTACCACAACAAAGCCTTTTTAATGCAGAAAATAAAAATTTCACATAACCGCCCTAGATATAGGCACAGACAACTTGTCAGCAAGTGGTGTTTTGTGGGAGCTGGGGTATGGCGCCAAGGCAGAGTGTTCTAGCGTTTTTTGAAGCCTTGGGCTCACAGACAACGCTAGCATTCTGTCGTTGGAGCCAGTGATGAACAGAGAGTGTCACAGCATGCTTCCGGACTGTTGTCTCCAACTGTGTGTCCTGTGCTTTTAGGCTCAGACAAGCATCCCCAGTATTGGCCGTGATGATCCCCAGCAGTCCTGTTACTTTGGGGGTTCCCAGGGAAAGTTTCCAAAAAGCCCAGACTCCATGGTCCTTACAACATATCATACAGTGCTGTTCCAAAGCCACCCGAGCCAATCATGGTGACAGGGTGGCCCTCCAAAAGAATCTGGGAGCTGTTGGAAGGAAGGGACGTGGGTACCTGGAGGACAACTCAGGCTGTGTGCTGCTACAGGGCACCCCTAAGGTGCAGAAATAAGCAAGCTCTAGTCACCAGGATTGTGCCACCTAGTTAGAAGAGGCAAAATTCCCCAGGCACAGCAGGGCCTGGGTTGGTGCAGACACTTCATTGTGGAGGAGGGAGAGGTACTGGAAGCTCCAAGAAGAACAGTCTCATCAGGCAGCTGGCTACTTGCAGCTCTTCCACGAACAGAGGAGCCATCTGGAGCCTCTAAATACTTAGGTCTGTTATGGAGCCACTCAGACTTGAAAAGGCAAGACAGTGGGATGAAATCATTTTCCACTGGTCTGTGCAGATGGACGCTGAGGCAGTGCTGTGGGTTTGGGGTCGGCTACAAAGGCAGAGCAGCTGTCCTCAGGGGAGCGCCCAGGGGGAGCATCTCCACCAACCGTTCATGTGCCAGCTGTTTGCACGTCCTAAAGAAAGATGTGGCAGATTCCTGAGGCCCAGGAAGCAAGACTCAGCCACCAGCATGCCCTACACCATGGGGGGTGGTAGCTCCAGCAGCCTGGAGACTCTGACAAACCACAGCAAAGGAGGGGTAGGAGCTGCACAGGAGGCCCTGCATTTTAGTTCCAAGAGAAAATACGGTAAAGTTTTCAATGTTATGGATCTAGTTTTTATATCTGTGTACATAATTCTAATTGTTTTTCTTTACCCTTTTCTATAAAATGATACTTAAATGTCTTACATTTTTTAATGAATATATTTAATGTCTTGGTATGCACAGTGAATCAGCATGCCAAGCTCACATTGTTTTATTCTCTCTCTCTCTCTCTCTCTCTCTCTCTCTCTCTCTCTCTTCTGGGGAGAGCCCCTGAAATGTACTTTCTTAGTCCCTTTGGGCCCCCCCCACCGCCCTAGCATCTCTCCATGTAGCCCAGCTGGCCTTGAACTCAATCCTCCTGCCTGGGCCTCCTCAGTGCTGAGACTACAGGCACCACACCTGGCTCTAGGCTCTAATTCTTTCAGCAAAAGTCCCAAACAGCACAGTGTCACTTCAGCCTTTATATCAAGTATTGGAGCTCTAAGCTTTACCAAACTTGACAGTTATCGTGCATGCTCAACTTTTCTAAAACAACTGGAAAGCGACTGCTTGTTTCTATTTTCTGATGCAGTGTTGTTATTAAGTTGTGGTAAAATACATCAAGTATAAATTTTACCATTTAAACCCTTTTTTGTTTTGTTTTTGTTTTTTAAGACAGGGTCACTATGTGTCTCTGGCTGTCCTGGAACTCACTCTGTAGACCATACTAGCCTAGAACTCAAGAGATCCGCCTGCCACTGCCTCCCGAGTGCGTGGATTGAAGGTGTGCGCCACACACCCAGCATTTAAACCATTTTAAAAGGTACATTTCAGTGTTAGGAAATGCACAATGTTTTGTGAACCACTACCTACCATGTCTTGCTTAAAGAAACCCCAGATGTGTTAACCCCATTCCTGGCATTCATGAATCTGTCTTTATTCTCCAGGGTCTTCTTAGGAATTCTCACATAGGTGGGTATTTTGTAGGCTGTGTGGCCTTTTATGTCAGGCTTTTTTCACTTAGCACAGAGTTTTCAGGGTTCATGCATGTTGTACAAGTAGTGGGACTTCATTGCCTTTTTTGAAGACAGGGTTTCTCTTTGTAGCCCTGGATGCCCTGGAATTCACTCTGTAGACCAGGCTGGCCTTGAACTCACAGAGATCCACCTGCCTCTGCCTCCCAAGTGCTGGGACTAAATGCATGTACCATCACCACCACCTGGTTGACTTCATTCATTTTTATGGCTGGACAACAATGCACGGTATCTTGTGTATCCACTTAGTAGTTGGTGGTATATGTCTATTTTTAAAGCAAAAGAAAACCTTTGGTTGCCTTTAAACAGCCTGGAGTGCTCCCTCCAAAGGAGAGGAGTTATGTGAGCAGTCAGGGCCAGGTGCTTTGGAGTCCTTAAACTTCCGTGTCTCAAGAGGGCCCCATTCTTACTGTATTCATCATGATTGTCTTTGATTGCAAATTGGCCTCTCAACCATACCCTCTCTGAACACAGTGTACATCAGAGTCTTGTATAGCAACAACATAGGCTGAGTCATGGACACGTTATTTTAATAAAACTGAAGACACTGCATCTTTGAAAGCACTTGGGGCCCTAGAATCCATATGGCGCTAAGAGCTGAAGACCTGGGGCCAAACTCTAGTTCAAGCACACGCAGCTTCAGGCTTTTCTAAGGCTCACTTGAGAACTGGCAGCATGAAGCCTACTTCCTAGGAAGAGTGTCAGAAGTAAGGTCTGCAGTTGTACCCTACTGCATGCAAGGTACCGTGTGCAGAGTTGCAAGCTGCGGAGGCAGGCAGATTATTAGCCCCTCGGCCTCATGGAGCCTTTGTTCTGGTGATACAGAGCAAGCGGGGAAGCTTGCTTGGGAGAGAGAGCAGCCATTCTTACCCAATGGGGCCCATGTTGCCTTTACTGTGTCACTCCCCGAACCAGCCCATGCACGGTGCAGCCAAACGGACTGGGAAGTTGTTGGGCTGAAGTCTGCTTTCCCAGGGTTGCACTGCAGAAACAGGTGGCCTGGGCGGGTGGGACAGAGGGGAGGAAGCTGAAGATATCAGTGTGCGTGAACGTAATGGCTGTCTTGGGGTTTATCCCCGCGACACAAGGGTGGCACTTTTTCACCCACTGTTACAAGGTCACCCATCAGTCATTTGTGGCAATCGGTGACTCCAACAATTTTGAACTGAACAAGGGAAGCTATTTCCAAATCGCTAAAACAAAACAAAGCAAACAAAAAATTCTTCACTAAGCTGGAGGGCTCCATCACTTTATCATCGAATTAAATGACATCTAAGACCAGTGTCCAGCAAAGATCTGAAAGCAAGTGAGCTGAGGTTTGCTCAAGGCGTCTCTGGGTTTCCAAGGAAACCGCTTACTTTCCAAGTTTCAGATCTGGAGGGAAGGAGAATGGCTCACATCTCCTACAAAAGAAAATGTATAAATAAATTTCATTGTGGGGATCTGGCACACCACCAAGAGACACCCCCTGGAAGGTGCCATTTGCACATTCGAAGCGGTGCACGTCCAAACCAAAAGAGAAAAAAAAAGCTGTCACTAGGCAGGTGAGAGCCTGTGCAAAGTCACTGGGGAGGCAGGATAAACTCTGTCACAGTCACTATGGCTGGAGGAAGGAGTGAAGGGCTCTGGAGGGGGACAGAGGAGAAATCGGGGCCCTGGAGGACCTCAGGGGACAACAGGGAAGGGTTAGTACACCTGGCTTTTTCTTTTGGGCCACCAACCAGATCCCAAATTATGACACGGAGACTTACTAGTTTTAAATGCTTGGCCTAGCTTAGTCTTGTTCCTGGCTGTCTCTTTTAATCTGTTTCTCTGCCACGAAGCACTC